GATTCGTTTCGCTTGCCAGCCAGTCTCTACTTCCGAGCGGCTGCTATGCGTGGTTGTCTCTCCCTGGCTGGTCGGGATCACCGCGGCTAGCTTTCGTGCCTGCAGTTCGTTGCCGCCAGTCGCGCGGCTAGGGGGTCGCTGACTGTGGGGCGACGGGTCCATCGCGCGAGGCGCCCATCATGGACGCCTCGCGTGATGTGTCCGTGTACGCACGCGCGCGCAGGCCTCTCTTCGGTAGGCCTTGTGGGAGCTCGCGAAACCTCTTGGTTGGGGTTGCGGTAGTTGAACAAAGAAACGCGCTTAGACTCGAAGCGTCGCGCGATGGACGTTGGCGCGGGCCCCGGGAGAATTTATCAACTTGGGGGAATGCGAAGGGGCAGCTGTTTCGTGGTACCTCTGAACCTGTCGGGTTCTCAAAAGGGGGCGTTTCGCTTTAGACATCCTCACCAAATCAGGATCTTGGAGGATATCGTTTAAGACGTGACGGGAAGCGCGCATAGGCTCGAAGGGTCGCGCGATGGGCGTTGGTGCGGGCCCGGAGGGACATGCTATCAACTGGGGGGAGTCTGAGGGGGGAAAGGTTTCGTGGTACCTTTGAACCTGGCGGATGAGACGGGAAGCGTCTTTGAGGTGCGAGACGCGAGCTGGACGTTCTGGCTGAAATTGCACCATATTTAAAACTTTATTGCTATATGGGGTTCGGGGTTGCACTTGTTTTTCCGTTGGCGGATGACGGGGGCACGCTATGTTAGAAGAGCTGCCTGGTTACCTTCCATGCTAAAAATGGCGCTCTCACTGCAGACATCTTCTGAACATCGGGAGGAGCACGGCAGACTGACAACAAAGGAGTGCGGCAAAACGGCAACCTCTCGTTGGGGGCATCTTCAAAACATTCAAATGTCCGCAACGTCGTCTCGACATCGTTCTCGAAGTACTTCCAGATGAAGAACCCACGATGGCCCCCAGCGCGCCCTGGAGACGACCGAAAATGACGATTTCGTTCGGGACATCCTCAACTAATGAACACATGCAACAACATTGTCTTCAAACTTGCTGTTCTGACTCGTCTTGGAATCGTTCCTGAAAAATGGTTCCAGATGGTCCAAGCCAGCCTTCTGAGAATGACGATTTCGCTAGGGACATCCTCAACGCATCAATGTGTCTAACATCGCGTTGTAATGATTTTGGAGGGCATCTATACGGCCCCTAAGGGCCTCAAGCGAGCCCCAACATGACCCCCAAGAGCGCCCTCGACACGACCCACGATGGTGATTTCGCTTGAGACATCCTCACACAAATGGCACGTTCGCAACATCGATTTTATCGAACATCAGCGTCTCGCCTGAGACATCCCCCAAACATGGGAAGACGCGAATTTGACATTTTCAAAAACTGGTGTCTCAAAAATGGCATGTTGGAAAAGCTGTGTCACTACCGCTCATGTCAAACATGGTGCTGGTGCTCTCGCTGCAAACATCCTCTGAAATTCGGGAGGAGCACGGCAGACTGACTAAAAGGAGTACGGCAGGAAACGAACATCTCGCTGGGGACATCCTCGAACCATGAGATATGCTTAACATTCTCTTGACATCGCTCGTGAGGTGCCCCGAAAATGGCGAAATCGCTGCAGACAACCTCCAAAAACATTGGATCTTCGCGACATCGTCTTGAAACCGAACGGCGCACGGCAGAACAAGACGAGGAGCACGGCAGAATTGGCCCCAAGAGCGAAGGAGCCCGGCAGAATAAGACGAGGAGCTCGGCTGAACACACCCCAAAAGCTAAAGAGCACGGCCGAAAGGACCCCAAGAGGTAAGGAGCACGGCCGAAAAAGACCAGGAGCACGGCAAAATACGCTCGAAGAGCGAAGGAACACGGCAGAAAAATACCAGGAGCACGGCAGAAGCAACCCCAAAAGCGAAGGAACACGGCAGAATAGGCCCCTAAAGCGAAGAATAACGGCAGAACGTGACCAGGAGCACGGCAGAATAGACCCCAAGAGCCAAGGAGCACGGCAGAATAAGACCAGGGGCGCGGCAGAATAGGCCCGAAGAGCGAAGAAGCACGACAGAAAACGACCAGGAGCACGGCAGAATAGGCGCCAAGAGCGAAGGAGCACGGCAGAAACCGACCAGGAGCACAGCAGAATAGACCCCAAGAGCGAAGGAGCACGGCAGAATAGACCCCAAGAGCGAAGGATTCCGGCAGAAAAAAAAACCAGGAGCACGGCAGCACAGACCTGAAAAGCTCAGGAGCACGGCAGAATACGCCTCAAGAGCGAAAGAACACAGCAGAAAAAGATCAGGAGCACGGCAGAATACACCCCTAGAGCTACGGAGCACGGCAGAAGAATATCAGGAACATGGCAGAATAGGCCCCAAGTGCGAAGGAGCACGGCAGAAAAAAAAAAGGAGCACGACAAAATGGACCCCAAGAGCTAAGGAGCACGGCAGAATAAGACCAGGAGCACGGCAGAATAGGCCCGAAGAGCACAGGAGCACGGCCGAAAAAGACCAGGAGCACGGCAGAATACGCCCGAAGAGCTAAGGAGCACGGCGGAAAAAAAGACCAGCAGCACGGCCAAACAAACCCCAAGAGCTAAGGAGCACGGCAGAACAAGACCAGGATCATGGCAGAATAGGCCCCAAGAGCGAAGGAGCACGGCAGAAAAGAAAGCACGGCAGAACGGGAGCACGGTAGAACACACAGGAGCACGACAAAACACACCCCGCACGCACGCCGACACGCGCGCCGAGACATACCTGCGCGGCAGACCAACCACGTAGCATATTTCATATGCCTGTTGGATTAAAGTTGTCCGGTCAGGTTCCTCAAAATGGCCATTTCGCATGAGACATCCTCGCGAAATGGAGATGTTGGAGGCTATCGTTTAAGACGTTTTCTGTTAAACATGACGTTTTCGCTTGTCTGTCCTCAGAAAGTCTGGATGTAGAACATGTCGAGGATTTCTGTTGTGCGTGAAAAAATGAGCGTTTCGCCTGAGGCATCCTCGAGCCAATGATATACCTATACGACCACCCTGCGGGTGATATGGAGGTTGGGGGGGGGGTGGAGGGGCCGAGCAATCGGCAACAGTGGTGATTGTTCTCCTGACGATGCCAGTGGAGATTTTTTTCTCGGAGGCCTGCTGAGGCTCCTCTCCCTCCCTTTGTCGGGTTGCACATGGTGCAAATGCAATTGATGAGAACTGCTGCGACAGCGACGGCGGCGGCGTCCTGTCGGCGTATCCCTTTTTTATGTAGACGGACCAACTCCAGGGCCCAGACGCATCAGTTTTTCGATTCGCTTCCAGCCGCGGCGGCGAGCAGGGCCTCCGAGGGCCAGAAAACCTCGACCTAACCTCGGCGCCAATCTCAAAACGGGACTGGGACCCCTCCCAAGGGCCCGCGCCAGCGTCCTCTCGGCGTATCTTTTTTTATATAGACGGCCCAACTCCACGGGCCCAGACGCACCAGTTTTTCGTTTCGCTTCTAGCCGCGACGGCGCGCAGGGCCTCCGAGGGCGAGGAAACCTCCGCCTAACCCCGGAGCCAACCTCAAAACGGGACCGAAACCCCTCCCAGGGTCCCGCGCCGGCGTCCTGTCGGCGTATCGCTTTGTATGTACACAGACCAAGTCCAAGGGTCCAGACGCACCAGTTTTTCGATTCGCTTCCAGCCGCGGCGGTGAGCAGGGCCTCCGAGGGCCAGGAAACCCCGACTCAACCTCGGCGCCAGCAGAACCGCCATGGGAGGCGCTATGAAGCCTGCGGGAGCTGGCAAAGCCTGGCCCGCGCCGTTGGGGGGGGCGTCTCCGCTCGCGGAGGCTGGCAAAGCTTGGCCCGCGCTCGAGCCATGCCCGGCCATCTCGGCGGGCGCCTTTGCCGGTGGTTGCGCTGGCCCGCTCGGGTCGCAAATGCTGCAAATGCAAGTGATGAGGACTGCTGCGACAGCGACGGCGGCGGCGTCCTGTCGGCGTATCCCTTTTTATGTAGACGGACCAACTCCAGGGGCCCAGGCGCATCAGTTTTTCGATTCGCTTCCAGCCGCGACGGCGAGCAGGGCCCCCGAGGGCCAGGAAACCTCGACCTAACCTCGGCGCCAACCTCAAAACGGGACCGGGACCTCTCCCAGGGGCCCGCGCCGGCGTCCTCTCGGCGTATCCTTTTTTATGTAGAAGGCCCAACTCCAGAGGCCCAGACGCACAAGTTTTTCGATTCGCTTCCAGCCGCGGCGGCGAGCAGGGCCTCCGAGGGCCAGAAAACCATCGCCCAACCTCGGAGCTGACCTCAAAACGGGACCGGGGCCCCTCCCAGGGTCCCGCGCCGGCGTCCTGTCGGCGTATTCCTTTTTATGTAGACGGACCAACTCCAGGGGTCCAGACGCATCAGTTTTTCGATTCGCTTCCAGCCGCGGCGGCGAGCAGGGCCTCCCAGGGCCAGGAAACTTCGACCTAACCTCGGCGCCAATCTCAAAACGGACCCGAGGCCTCTCCCAGGGTCCCGCGCCGGCGTCCTGTCGGCGCATCCCTTTGCATGTGCACAGATCGACTCCAGGGGCCCAGACGCACCAATTCAGACGCACCAATTTTTCGATTCGCTTCCAGCCGCGGCGGCGAGCAGGTCCTCCGAGGGCCAGGAAACCTCAACCGAACCTCGGCGCCAACCTCAAAACGGGACCGAGACCTCTCCCAGGGGCCCGCGCCGGCGTCCTCTCGGCGTATCTTTTTTTATGTAGACGGCCCACCTCCAGGGGCCGAGACGCGCCAGTTTTTCGATTCGCTTCCAGCCGCGGCGGCGAGCGGGGCCTCCGAGGTCCAGGAAACCTCCGCCTAACCCCGCCGTCAACCTCAAAACGGAACCGGGGCCGCTCCCGGAGTCCCGCACCGGCGTCCTGTCGGCGTATTCCTTTTTATGAAGACGGACCAACTCCAGGGGTCGCTGGCGAAGCCTACGCGCAGCCTACGCACAGCCTGGCGAGCGCCGGCAAAGCCTGGCGCAGCCTACGCGAAATCAAAAACTATATCCTTCATGATGCAGGAGCCTGCAAGCGCTGGCAAAGCCTGGCGCAGCCAGTGCCCCCCTTCCATGCATGTCTTGCTCGGCGGCGTGGCCTTGTACGCACGGGATGCGATCCAAATGGCCTCGCTCTCCTCCGCGTTGTAAGCGTGCCATGTCGGCGTGGCCGTGGATATCGCGGGGTTCGCCTGGGTCACCGCGCGGCGCTGGACTCGCTCGACGCCCCGCCCCCAATTCTCCGGAGGCGCGTGCGCGAACGCGTGATGGGGCGTCATCGCGCGAAGCGGCGTGGGCTCGCCATCCGGCCCGAACACCGCGGGGTACAAGTACAGGGCGCGAAGGGCAACACTGGGAAAGCCCGGCGTCTCATCGGCGCCCTGTTTCCTCTCAGCGCACTCCTTGCGCGCGTAGTGGCCCCGACCCGCGGTGTCCCGCAAAAGCCTTGACATCGACGCGACGTTCATGCACGCTGCTCCGGCGCTGGCGTCGACGATCTGCACGCACTTATACAGGGGGCGCGCGATGGCACCCGCCAGCTGGTAGTCGACGCTGACCGCCTGGTCGTTGAGATCGCTTCCCAGAGCGGTGCCGAAAAGCATGTCGAGGAAGCTGGCGTCCCAGTAGAGGAAAGACGGTCTGGTGAACTTGGACAACAAGCCATCCCCTGGCAAGGCCTGGGGGAACGCGTGATCCAGCCACGGCGGGCGCATGTCCCGAAGCAACACCAACGTCGCGCACTTCGCAGCCTCGTCCAGCAACTCTTGCTTGGTCTTGGAGCTGACGTACGCTGTGGACAAGCCCACCGCCTCTATGTAGTCCTCCACGAGCACCTCGCGGTTGGTCGCTGGGCACGAGTAATCTGCGCGGATGCGGGGCGCCTGGAGGTCGGACCCTGTGAAACCGAAAGCAGCTGCCGACCCGGCCGGCCGAGATGCGCTGGCAAAGCCTGGCGCACTGCTCGCCTTGGTGGAATTGTTCTTGTCCCTCTTCAACGCGACCAGCCAGAGCGCCCTGTAGAAGGCGTAGATGGCCTTGGCCGTGTGCGTCCAGCCCAAGTCCCAGAAGAACTCCCCCAGCGTCGTGGCGGGGCTCTGCCGACACCACTCGTGCGTCTCGACCGCCTCGCACGGAACGCATACCCTGCTCCATTGGCGGGCCCTGGCGGGCATGTAGACCTGTGGGTTGATGTCCTCGCCCTCTTTCACGGCGGCGGCTTCGCGCTGGGCCTGTGCGTCGACGGCTTTGGCGAAGAGCTCGGGCCCGCACCGGCCGTGCTCGCGCCGCCCCTCCGGGCGTCGTCCCACGGTGTAACCACCTTGCACGCGCCAGAATTGTGGATTCTCGAATTGCGCGGCACTGGCAATGCCTGGTGCGACCTTGCGAAGGCACCACTGCGTTCTGCACCCGTTCAGCTCCACCACCTCGCCAGAGTGGTGATTGACCAAACCCGCCAGCGCTTTCGATGGATCGTCGTCCCCCAGCTGGTTCGGCGAAAACTTCTGCGCTGCCTTATCCGGGAGCTCCTTGAACAACGTTTGGTAATGCTCCCGCAGCGCGAGCATGCGCAAGCGGCCCTCCCGTGCCTGCGTGTTCGGAGGTGGCCGCGACAGATCCTTGACGCAGAGAGACCTCTTAGAGGCCGCATTCAAAAACTCGTTCGGAGTCATGGGCACCGCGCCGGCACTGACCAGCTTGACGTACACCAGTTCGCGGCCCAAGAACATGTCCCGCGTGTCCAGGCCACGGGCACATGTCCTCCGACGCTCCTCGTGCTTTTCCCAGGCCTCGCGGCGCATCCTGTCGGTGTTGTCCTGCACCTCGGGATCGCCGGGCTCATCGATGACTCGGCACCGCACGTGCTCCACACCGCGACTCTTCATAGCACGAACATCGTCCAGGGCGGCGTTGCTGGCCATCGGCTGACCCTGCACAAGCTTCAAAAAATCCGGGATGGGAAGAACTTCGGTGCCGAGTGCAGCGCGGACCTCCCTGGACTCACGGGCGGCGGCCGGGTCCCCTTCGGGCTTCTCGGCCAGCTCCTCGCGCAGGTCAGCCGCGATGTCGAACTGGTGCACGTCCGCCGTATCCTCTGTCCAATCGGCTTCGGGGTCGAACCCTGGCGGCGTCTTCTCCGCATCCGCCTCGTCCTCGTTCTTCTGCCCCTGGGTCGCCGGGCTGGCAGAGCCTGGCCCCGACCCCTGGGCTTCGCCTGCCACCGCTTGCTCCCCGCCCGCTGGCCTCCTCGCCGCCTCCAACTCGGTCCGCATGCGCACGCGCGCATCCTCCGCGATCTCCGCGAAGCGGTTGAACTCCGCACCTGGCGTCTCGTACTCGGTGCCGTCCAAATCGCGCCCCTCAGGCATGACGTCCGAGATGCGCTCGGTCCCCTTGACCAACGATGCAATGCTCCCGTCCCGCTCGAACGCTCTCAGCTCCGTGACCCCAGCCTCGCAGTAGTTGAGGCCCTCCGGGCAGGAGGCCTGGCGCGCCCCTCCGCTCACCTGCGCCGCAGGGGCGATCGCGGCACCCCTGGGCGCCGCTTTACTCTTCTTGGCAGGAGGCCCGGTCGCGCCGCCCTGATTTATTGAAGCATCCACCCCCGCAGAACTGCCAAAGCCTGGCTCAGGCGGGACCCCGCGGCCACCCTGACTCATTGAGGCCGACTCGGTGGGGCAGGTTTCCACCCGCGCCGCAGAGGCGGTCGCCTGGCCCCCGGGCATCGCGGGAGCGTTCTGGAAAGGATACGGGAAAATTGGCTTGCGACGCGGTGCCTGCGTCGGAGAGCTGGCAAGGCCTGGCGCGGTTGGAAGGCCTGGTGCCTGCGTCGGAGAGCTGGAAGACCCCGCAGGACTGGCAAAGCCTTGCTCAAGCGGGATCCCCTCCAGGCCCTCTGGGAGCACGTCGTCTTCCCAGGTACCGTGTCTCGTCAGGCAGCTCTTGCAGTAGTCGCGGGCATGCTGTGGAAGGAGCTCCCGGCCCTTGACGGCGCGCAAGAGCACGCGCCACGCCGCCGCGTGATGCCGTTTGGGGGGGGGGGGGTCCTTGAACATCGCTGTCTCGGTGTAAGGGCGCCGCTCCATGTGCTTCATGTGGCTGTTCCGCGTGATCTCGAACTCCATAGCTACATGGGGCTCGCGGTGCAGGTGGACTTCCAGGTTCTGCTCGAAGACGTGGTCGCCTCGGTTGCCCTGCGAGGTCTTGGAGCTCGCGTCCACGACCTGAGGGCCACCCTCGCAAGCATTTCCGGGGAACCCCACATGGCCTCCACTATGGTTCAAGATAACCGGAGATGGCTCAAGATGGCTCCTCCCAAGGAGGCCCCCGAAGACCCCCGAAATCCCAAATGGCCAACCCAAACGCCGAGTGGCCACAAACATCTTTGGAAGCACAGAGACCTTCAGCACGCCTGGTGCTGCCAGCAAGTTCGTCTTGAACTCCTCCCGAGTCAGCAGGCGCTGAGGATGGAGTTCCACCATGCCCGAAAAGGAAGTGCCCTTGTACTCGTATCGTTGCGCGAGTCTGCGCGAGCCCACGTAGGGCGCCTCTGTCCCTGGGGCTGGCAAAACCTGGCCCTGGGACACAGGCAGCGCATGTCTGAGCATGCGGGCGGCGGCGGCCATGGCCGCGGGACCGGCCAAAGGTCCGCGGGAACTCTCCGAACACAGTACCGTGATGGGCTGCGGTCTGACGGCGTCAACGCCGGCACAGCATACAGCACGGCATGATGATACAACAAGGCCCCGGGAACGATTCATGAGTTCCCCAGGGAACCTGCAGGGACGTACCGACGCCGACTCCAACAGCGACGGCGAACGACGACTCCAGGGGCCCGCGCCAGCATCCTGTCGGCGTATCTATCCCTTTTTATGTCGACGGCCCAACTCCAGGGGCCGAGACGCACCAGTTGTTCGATTCGCTTCCAGCCGCGGCGGCGAGGAGGGCCTCCGAGGGCCAGGAAACCTCGACCGAACCTCGGCGCCAACCTCAAAACGGAACCGGAACCCCTCCCAGGGGCCCGCGCCGGCGTCCAGTCGGCGTATCCCTTTTTATGTAGACGGCCGAACTCCACGGGCCCAGACGCCCCAGTTTTTCGATTCGCTTCCAGCCGCGGCGGCGAGCCCGCGCGGCCGCCCGAAGGAACGGGGAGCGCTCGGAGAGAGCGGCTGGCAAAGCCTAGCCTGTACTGGTGGGTGCACGGGGCCTCGCCCGCACGCACGGCACGCACGAACACGAAACCGAAATCGATTTCCCGGTAGGGGGGCTCTCCGTTCCACTTCGATCTCACCCCCCAACCTCCGATCACAATCGATCTCACAATCGACGTCGTCATCATCATCATCATCAACATCATAATCATCATCATCATCATCATCATCATCATCGCCATCATCAACATCATCATCACCATCATCATCATCACCATCATCATCATAATCATCATCAACATCATCATCGGGACACCGACGGGACACCGACGGGACACCACCGGGACACCGGCGGGACACCGCGCGGCCCCGCGCCCCGGTGGAGAATCATTTGGTCCGGCCGCGCGTCAGCCACAGAGGACACCACTGGGACACCGGCGGGACACCGCGCGGCCCCGCGCCCCGGTGGAGAATCATTTGGTCCGGCCGCGCCTCAGCCACAGGAGACTTTCTTCTCGCCCGCCCACGCAGCTTCGCCTCGCCCGCACGCGCGGCACGCACGAACACGAAACCGAAATCGATTTCCTGGTAAGGGGGCTTTCCGTTCCACTTCGATCTCACCCCCCAACCTCCGATTCAAAAAACTGGTTTACTATTTCTCATGTTGAAAATGGCGTTCTCGCTGCAGACATCCTCAGAAAATCGGGAGGAGCGCGGCAGACGGAAAAAGGAGCACGGCAGAACATTAACATCTTTTTGGGGACATCCTCCAAAAATGAGATGTCGCAACATCGTCTCGACATCATTCTCGAAGTGCTTCCAGATGAAGAAATGAAAGCCGAAAAAGGAGCCCAAAGTGTCTCCCAGAGCGCCCTGGAGACTGCCGAAAATGACGACTTCGCCAGGGACATCCTCAAACATGAACAAATTCAGCAGCATCGTTTTGAGACCTGCTGTTCTAACATCGTCTTCGAATCGTTCCGGAAAAGGCTTCCAGATGGCCCAAGACAGCCTTCTAAAAATGACGATTTCGCTAGGGACATCCTCAAACAATCAATGTGTCCATCATCGCTCTGTAATGATTGTGGAGGGCATCAATACCGCCCCAAAGGGCCCCAAACGAGCCCCAATCTGACCCCCAAGAGCGCCCTCGACACGACCCAAAATGGCGATTTCGGTTGAGACATCCTCACACAAATGGCACGTTCGCAACATCGATCCTATCAAACATAAGCGTCTCGCCTGAGACATCCCCCAAACATGGGAAGTCGCGAATTTGACATATTGTAAAAAACTGGTGTCTCGCCTGAGGCATCCTCACAAAAATGACATGTTGGAAAAACTGTTTCACTACTGGTCATATTAAAAATGGTGTTTTCGCTGCAGACATCCTCAGACAATCGGGAGGAGCACGGCAGACGGAAACAAAAACATGGCAGAGAATGAGCATTTCGTTGGGGACATCCTCAAAACATGAGATGTTCTTCACATCTTCTTGACATCGCTTTTGAAGTGTCCCGAAAATGGCGAAATCGCTGCAGACAGCCTCAACAACATGATATATTTGCGACATCGTCTTCAAACAGAAAGGCGCACGGCAGAACAAGACGAGGAGCACGGCAGAATAGGTTCCAACAGCGAAGGAACACGGCAGGAGCACGGCAGAACAAACACGAGCATGGCAGAATAAACATGAGCACTGCAGAACACACAGAACACGGGCGGCTGTCTGCCGCTTTGAGCCGCATCTCGGTGCTCGAGGCCACCATGGACGCCTTGCGGGCCCGCGTCGCTGCTGAGGAGGCTCGGCACGTGGCGGCGGCGGCCCAGGCGGTGCGCCTCGCGGAGGATGATGGCGACATCACGGAGCCGAATGCGGCGTTCGCGGGCGAGCTCGTGGCCAGGATGGCGCTCTCGGCGCCGATCCTGGAGGGCGTCCTGGCTGGAGAGCCCGACGGCGCAGGGAAGGCCGTGCGAACCCTGCGCAGAGCGCGGCGTAACACGGGCCTGCACTGCGCGGCCGTGCCAGCCGCCGCCATCAGGCGGGCGGAGCTGCCGCAGCTCAACCGGTGGCAGCCAGCGGCTGGGCGGAAGACTTTAAGGGTAGCTCTTTGGGAGATGTTATAGAGGATCGGGAGTATAGCCTGCGCGCCGCTGCCTTTGGCTCAAGGCACGCGCGCCCTATTTGCCCGGACCCTTACCTTAGTGTTCGCGATGTGCTGGAAAGATCACTACATCGATCTTATCCTATTCTATCCATCCACTCCCCATATCGTATTCCTTCGCCATGGAATTGGATGCTATATGACCTGCCAGAGTCATTTCAGACTTGGTAGCGGAGCTGGCCGCACTCTCGTGTGGTCAGCTCTTGCTCTTCTTATCCTCACGCTATCCGGCACGATCTTCGTGACCAACTTCCACCCTGCGCCACCACTCCAACTACATTTGCGAGGATCAATTCAAGAGCAAAAAGCAACACGAGAGGCACGACGTCTAGACAACAACATTGTTACCATATACGCTTCACCATTACGCTACTACCAACCGCTCGGCAACGAGCCAAAAGCGCAGTACTTGAAGCATAGGCGGGGAGACCCGCAAGATAAAGCGCCTCGTAGACTTGACAAGGCGCTACAAGCCCTACCCCAGCGCGGCAACGCGCCTGATAACCACCCATATATTCGCAGCCTTGGGCTGGTTATCTTCGCAATCATATGGTTCGCGCTGGGGGCAGCAATCGGACACATGCGCCGAGGAGACGATAGCACAGATGGGCAAACACATGGCCCATACTGGGACCCTCAAGGCAACGTACCTTTTCCGCGAATACGTTTATGAGGTCAACGCGCGGCTTAACGTCACAAGCGGACGCATGACGCCACAAGCCCAAGCAGCCGCCATGCAACGCGGCCTGGGTGGCCTAGCGAGGACACTCGCCATGAGGGCACCACCTGACATTAGAAACTATGGTGCGGACATCGATGGTGTCCACACCGACCCAGTAACCTATATTAGGTTCCTCCTAAGCATGAAGTTCGAACGCTTAGAAGATGAGCGCCAGCTCACTTCAGGCACTCAGCCCATCGACTTCCACGTGCCTCACGGAGAACGAATTGATGTAACCCTTGCTCGGTTCGAGATGGCCCGTGTTGAGGCACAGTCGGTGGGTTTTGACCTCCCCAACTTCCAACTGCTCGCGACTATCCTGTTCCGCGCCCTAGGCGTTGGCAACCAGCGAGCCATGCAACTCTTACAGACACTCAACCACCAAATGCCCCGAACGCAACAGCAGCATGACGAACTGCGTGAAAGGATGCGCTCTATAGGCCGCGTGTCAGAATGGTCTCCTGGCAACATTGGATCAGTGTTTGGAAGGGGAAGGGGAACTGGCATTTGAAACTTCTATACTACCTTAACCACTGAAGCTCAGCCTGGCAACGGGCCCTCAAACATATGGGCCGACGATCCTGGAGAATCTACTGCCCTACTAGCAAGGGATCGATCACACACGAGCTGGGCAACCAGCCCTCCTCCTAGAGAGCCTCAACCCCACCGGTGAAGCGAATCCCCTAAATGATGGGATATCCACCTACTTAGGCAACGACGACTTCGACTCCGGCACCGACGCCGACACTATATCATCAGATGGTATCGAACCCTTAGATTGGTCAGATATCATGCAACTGGAAGGGGGCAACCAGCGTGCCGAACACCTGTTCTTGTTATTACAACAAGCAAAGCGTGGGTGGAGGAGGTTCACACGAAAACCAGTGCGTCGTGTTAGGGGGAGGATACGGAGGAGCTTCAAAGGAAAAGGTAAAGGCAAACGGGGTCGCCGAAGGTTGAACGGACGAGGCGTCTCGGCTTTCCTCCAGAGGCTCTCAGATGATCAGTCTGATGAGATATTTTTCGGGGGAAAGGCAGTGGAAAAGGCCGTGGGGGGACCTCAGGCAAAGGCGAAGGTGGGCGGGGAAACCCGCGAGGTAGAGACGGCCAGATCTTAAAGTGCCATGAGTGTGATAGTACCGATCATATTGTAATGGATTGTCCAGCGAAGGGAAATGGAAAGGGTAGATCGGCCGAAGTCCAGTTAGGCTCAAGTGAACCGCCCATTGAATATCTGAGCCTCCAAGACTTCGAGGCTGTGGAACAGATATTCTTCACTTGGGCTAGCAGTGTGGACAATTTGGATGATCTCGAGGCGTGCGGCCATGGGCTTTACGCGTACTACCTCGAGTACCTCCGCAGGTTTGTTCTCGGAAATATCGAGCTTATGCCTGTGGAGAACGGAGCGCCGGGAAACCAGCCCCTCTGTTTCTTCGACCGGATGTTCGGTAACCCAGGCAACATCATGGCCTACGAGAGCAGCGACGAGGAAGTCACTGTTGAGGCCTCGCCTTCGGAGGTGGACCACAACCTTCGACGTCGACCCGACCTCATGCCTGGAAACAGGCCCACTCCAGTATATCCCCCAA